CCCCAGGCCCCGGCCCCGGCCCCGGCCCCGGCCCCTCACCCTTCTTGTTGTCGATAGCCACCACGGGGTCAGTGCCATTGAGGCGGATGCTGCCGATGACAGAGAGTTTGGCGTCGGCCCAGTACAGCCGCTCGTTGTGGTAGTCCACGGCCAGGCCTGGGGGGGCAGGCACAAACGTGAGTGCCATTACAGGCCCCCTGGGCCCTTGTCCATGCCCTCCCCCCAACTTGCTATGAGTGGGGAAACTGAGGCAGGGAGCCCGGGTCACCCTCAGAGTCCAAGAGGGCGGCTGAAAATGGGACCCAGGCATCCTCCGCTCCAAACCTTAGACCCTGCTGCTCTCTCGGAGCTGGGGATGGGACCCAGGTGTCCAGGCTCCCGATCCCTCTGCTCTAAGCCAATAGACCCCACCCTCCTCCCAAAGCAGGGAGAGAACCCAGGTGTCCTGCTGGCATCACCCGTGGGCCACTGGATATTGTTCTGCACCAGCGTCTCCCTCAGGGTCCCATCCATGGCAGCCGTCTCGATTTTGGGGTGGTTGCCCCAGTCCGACCAGTACATGGTCCTACAGGGGGGAAGGGATCAGTCAGCCATGGGGGGATCAGGGTGGGATACCCTGTCCCTGCAGACCCCAGTGCCCCCCGACCTCACCCCCGCAGTGGGTCCACGACAATGGCGTGCGGCTCGTCGATCATGGCCGAGATGAGCGTCTTGTGGTTCTCGCCCTTCATCTGTGCCACCTCGATGACGTCGCGCCCAGCGTCTGTCCAGTACACGTTCCCAGCCACCCAGTCCACCGCGATGCCCCGTGGCATCTTCAGCCCTGAGATCTGCCGGGTGCCAAGAGACGTGAGCACCCTGGCCTGCAGCCCGGCCCCCCTTGCCCAGCGCCCAGCCCCTGGCCCTGGCTCACATTGAGGTGGGTAACGGTGCTGTCCAGCTGGCGCCGGTTGCGGTTGGCAGCAGTGGAGGCAGCGGAGGAGGCGGGCAGCTCACGGTAGGAGATACGGCCTGTGTGCCAGTTGGTCCAGTAGATCTTGTTGCCCTTGACGTAGATGTCCATGGCATCGATGCGCACGTCCTCATCGCCCTGGAAGGCCGGCTCGTGAGCCGAGTTGGGGTTGAAGGGGAACATGCTGCGGATCTTGTTGTCGTCCGCGATGTACAGGATCTGGTGCTCTGAGCCTGGGGGCGGCAGGGGGGTGTTGCTCCCTCTGTCCAGGATGGGGGGCACCCCCAGACCCAGCAGCCCCCAGGGTCTCTGCCCAGGGAGGGACAAGGAATGCCAAAGAGAAGGGTTATCGGAGGCTGGAGCCCTGCCCCGTGCACAGACATGCCCCCCCTGGGCTCACACATGCATGCCAAGGCCTGTACACAAGACCCCTCACTCCCGACCTACACACCCTGGTGCCCGGCCCCCACCCCCTTGGTACCTTCGGCCTTGCAGGTGTGGTGGGTCTTAACAAAGTTGCGGGAGCAGCTGCAGACGTAGGAGCCCTTGGTGTTGTTGCAGAGCTGAGAGCAGGTCCCGAACTGCAGGCACTCGTTGATGTCTGGGTGGAGCAGGGGGAGGTGGGGGGCAGTGGATGATGGGCGGCACCGGATGCACCTGGCTCTGGGGTGGGACCGTCTGCCGCCCAAGAGTTCCCATGGCTTGGCCCAGGCCGTGGGCAAGGACCGCCTGGCCCTGGACCTGGAAGGCCTGAGGCCCACAGGGGTGCCCCAGCCCACCCCCTGCCCTGGTACCTTGGCAGGCGTTCTTGGTGGGCACCTTCTGGAAGCCGCTGGGGCAGGCGCAGTATGTGGCCGTCGGCGACTGAACGCACTTGGCCTCATCCCTGCACATGCTCACGTTGGTCTGGCAGTCGTACATCTTGGGGTCTGCGGGTGGCATGCGACACCCATTAGCAGGAAGGGGCCTATCTGCAGACCCCTACCCTGCCGGTGCCCCTCACTCCCGACCCACTGCCTCCTGTCCTGCTGGTGCCCCTCACTCACGACCTACAGCCCCCTGCCCAGCTGGTGCCCCTCACTCCTGACCCACTGCCCACTGCCCTGCCCCTGCTAGCAATGCCTTCCCACCCTGGTAGCAGTGCTCCTCGTCAGAGCCGTCGCTGCAGTCATCAAAGAAGTTGCAGTGCAGATTGGCGCTCACACAGCGCCCGTTATTGCAGAGGAACTCGCTCTTCTCCTGGCTGCAATTCCGGGGCTTGGGAGACTCTGCGGAGAGTCGTGCGGGGGGAGGGAGGTATTAGGGGGGCAAGAGGCAGCCCCGAAGGCACTGACACCCCCTCTCAGCCATCCCTGCCCTGATAGACCTGGCCGGCAGGGCAGGGCACCCCCATAGGTCCAGGGGGCTAGGAGCCGGGACACCTGGGCTCCATGCCCTGGGGTCTCACGGCTTAGAGCAGGGTGGCACAGAAGCCAGGATCGCTGGATTCTCTTCCCAGCTCAGTTGG